AATGAAATAACACAACCAGACTTTTGAAACCTTATTAATTGCTAGTGGCAAATAAAAAGACCTTTATGGTGTAATGTGAACTTCTAATATAGCTCAAGAGCACCACCATGATCCTAAAAATGAAAAACAAGAAGAATATTGCTTTTTGATGTTTTTGTGCCCTGTAAGGCCCGTATTAAACGATGTGCTAAAGTCGTGCTGAACGAAATTCAATTTGGCTTGACTGTAGCATGACATTGGCCTGACTTGGTTTCAAACATCAAGCTTAATTCACTGGACTTTTAAAATAGAGATGATTTCTAACCGGTGGTATTATGGATAAATCCAAAATGGCGGATGGTGTTCCAGACGGGAGAATTTGACTAATGTTTGTGTACATTTATGATTTTTAAACAAGCCCAGGCTGCAAGGAGAACGAAGCGACTATTGCAACAGGCATTTCTAACCCATGCCATTGCTAGAGGAAGAAGATTAGTGATCCTGGTCTGTTGTTTGATCACTATGTTTTTTGTCTCCACCCAATGATTCGCTGTCTTCTTCAACTTCTGATTTTCCACCAAACTCAACAGGCGATGAATGGTTTGAGCCTATGTCCGTTCCTTCATCCAGATCCACTGAGCAAAAATCTTCTTCGGTCTCTGAAACATTTCCTGGCAGAACAGGTGGAAGGGTTCTCCTGAATACCGCCATTTTTTTACACTTGTTCCCAAGAACTTGTTACCAAGAACCCACTCACAAGAAACCAGTTTGTCCACTTTTATCATGTAGTTATAATTTATTTATTTAGTTCGGCACAGCAATAGCACGCCATTTGAAACCATGCCCTGCTTAAGTCGGGTGGTATGACAGAGCTCGCCGTGCTACACCGCAGAGTCGAACTTAATTCTAAAATGGTTTCAAAAGCCGTGCTACAGCCATGCCAAAGTCGAGCTTAAATAAAGAATTTAGTTCGGCACGACATCAGCACGGTGTTTGAAACGGGCCTTAGCCTACTTGCCCAGTTGGTGTTAGGCAAGATATACTATTACTGCTATTAAGCAAACTAAAAGAGAGAGCTTACAATCATCAATTGTAATTAGTGTTTTTTTAACGAGGATGAACGTTCTTAAAATAACAGTTTTGGAGCACTGCTGTGTCCAATAAAGTTGCTTTCATTGTTCGTTAAAGTAGTGAACATTTGAAATTAGGATCAAGAAATCACATCAGCAAGACTTCGTTCGGGGTGCGTGTCAAAGCATCCAAATCTTCTGGAATCTTTGATGATCAAGACGTTTCCAATATTTCAAATACTTTAACAACTAGTAAAAAAAAAATCAATTTACCTGTTGGAAAGCTGCAGGAACAAAAGCTTTCTGTAAACCTGCCAGATGTGAAAGAAGCCGCCTTCACAGTACACAAAGTTGTGCTTAAATCCTACCGCTCAGAAGGACAACCGAGGAGTACTAGGAGCGAGTTTCCGAGTCGAGCAGTTTTCGGA